ATGAGAGTAGTGGTATGAACTAGGGGAAGAAAAATATTCCTTCTCTTTGTATTGTACCACAGCACCCACGTCGTATTAATTCTGACACGGATGTCAATACCAAGATTTATGCTAGTCTTTTTTGTCTATCCTCTTCGAAGGAGGATGACCAAAATCAATCGGTATCAATCTGCTGAAAATAGTTCTCATGTCACAATGCTCTTCCAACTTTCACCTTGAAATATATATATATCAACATATTTCCAATTATGGGAGAGGGCATCGCTAACATCCGATAACAAATATTAGTGAAATCATTTCGATTAATGTTTGTGGTTTTAACCTTCTTGGATTTTCCACGTTAAAAATATGGTCTCTTGAAACTCATCTTTTATTTGCATGTCTACTAGATTTTATAAAAAGCTTAGACATTAAGGTTTGGTTATTTCGTAACTTTTCTAAAATAGTTTTAAAACTATTGTTTAAGAGAACTGAGTTTTCTAATGGAGATGTTAATATTTGAAAGCTTTTGAAAATAATACAAAAATACAGTTCTTTAAAAAAACATTTATGCAAAAATAGCACATACAAAAAAATAATAATAATAATAATTTCTGTCGTTTTGAAACTGAAAAGGCAAAATTAAGACTTTTCAAATGAGGCCTAAGCTTCGCCTCTCTATCGCCACTAATCTTTTGACATGCAATAATGATAAATCATTATATAAAATATAACAAGTGAAAAGAGAAACAACATGAATTATATATAAATTTTCTTGCTAAATTTTTTTTGAAGTTATTATCAAATTTCAAATTTAAGAAACATCTTTTAACAATAAGATATACTAGGTGCAGTAATTGTCAATATCAAAAAAGAAAAAAAATTATAATATTCACAACAACGTTAAAAAAAAAATCTATTTTCTTCACAACAATTTTATAACAATCATTATAAAAAGCTATAGCTAGGCCAAATGAACTCTTAGATCCTGACACTACAGGAAATTCAGTTAATACCGGCGGTTTTTTCCGACGGCTTTACTGGTAAAACCGACGGTTTTCAAAAACACCGGTGGTTTGTTGGCGGTTCAAAAGCAGCCGACAAAAATGGCGTAGGAAACCATTGCCGGCGGACTTTTTCCGGCGGTTTTATTCGCCGACGGCGTTCCGGCGGCTTATACCGCCGGTTTTTGTACCGGTGGTGTTCCGGCAATTCCGCCGCCGGTACTTTTACCGACGGCTAACCGGCGGTCCATACACCGACGGCACGCCGGCGGTTACAGCTGCCGCGTGCGTTCGAACAACCGCCGGCAAGCGTCGGTACACCGCCGGTACCACACCGAAGGTAACAGCTGAATTTCTTGTAGTGTGATTGTGATAGCTTTCTCATTGTTCTGTTTTACAGGATTCTGAATTATCCAACTTTTAAAAAAAATTATAATAATCATAGCAGCTTTAAAAAAAACAATTTCTTTGCAAAACAAAAGATTAGAAGTATAATTGTGAAAATCTTATAATTATTATTTCATTTTGAATAGCTTTTTTTATTGCTTTCTAAAACGATTTTCTAGCCGCAAAAAATTTGTCAAAAATGAAGCCTAAATTATACTTGCATTAAATTTATATTTTGACACTAAACGTAAAAATAACAACATTAATAAATGAGTAAAAGTGAAAGATGATGAGATGATCTAAGCATAAAAATAAAAAACATGGAAGTCGTGTTCTTCTAGTTTCCATATATTGCATGTGATGAGATTATTGAAGCATGATAGGCTAGAAATATATTCCCATGACTTTAGGAGATGGAGGCTTAGAGCTTCCAAAGAAAATTTGGAATGCAAAGGCTCCTTAGTCAAAAAGGACATCATGAATCCAATTTGCATTGGTCTAGGCATTGATTGATTTTAGTTTGATGGGACCAAGAAATGAATTCGGTTGACTTAGGGACCAACTCGGATCATTTTTTCATTTTTATTTGTATTTTCATATAAAATAAAATAGATTTTAATTTTAAAATATGTTTATTTGTCATTTTTCAGATAAAAAATGAGCTTATGAGTCAACTTATTCTGTTTACTAAACGGGTTGAAAGCCCCAACATGAACTCTAGGGCTGTAAAAAACTGGTAACGGCTCGGGTTGGAGTTGAAACTAGAACTAACCCGACAATAGTTGATCTGACCCAGACCTGTCTTTGGCAACGGGTAAGATATTTCAATACAGACTCGACCGATGCGGATTATCGGGTTGACCCGACTCGACCCGCTGACACGTTCTCATTCAAGCACTAAGCAGCGCCGGCAGTGTCACGACAACCCAGACAGCGGCAACAACAACGTCGTCAGCGGGACTTGACGCAACATGATGACGATACTTGACACGATGCGCGCAGAAGCGATCAGCATGTTTTTGTTAGATCATTCATGGTCATTCCCGAGTTTCTGAGTCAACCCGAACCCGACTCGATTTTTAAAATAGGTCGAATTGTTGAACTCGAATTCGACCCGTTTCACAAATGGGTTGATCATAACCCAGAATTTTCGGTTCGGGTTCGAGTCAGATTTTTGAATCGTGTCAAATATTGACACTCCTAATGAACCCGACCATTTTATTAAGCTGGTCAGCCCAAATTAAAATGTTTAGGAACGAATTATCTTTATTAAAGCCGTAATATTCAAACCCTCAGTTAGTACAACATGCATGCGGTAATTTCACGTGAAATCAAAGCATGTGGAAACTATTTAACATGCACCGTACCCTGCAGTTATTTTTTCTGTAGACCAAACAGCTATATCATCAGCTGAACCTAGCTAAATTAATTAGTCGAAATTTTGGTCAATATTTTTTTTTTCAACAAAATAATCTCAAAATCAGCCTAAATTAAAAATATTGAATTTTTTTAATACATTTCAATTAAAATTAATTGAAAATCATCCAACCTAAATCATCTACACTAATTGAAAACGAACTGCTGTGAAAGATTCCAACTCTTTTTGGGATTCTTTTGCATTCTAACATGTGTAATTTTGGGCAAATTATTACGTCCGGTCACAGGACGCCGAGAATAGGTTCGAACATCCAATAAAAATTTGCCACGTCACCTACGCTTTTGACTTGCGCTTTAGTTGCGTTTTAGTTGCGCTTTGACTATGCTTTACCTACGCTTTTGACTGCGCTTTACCTGTGCTTTACCTGCACTTTTGATGCGCTTAAATTATAATAATATTTTATTAATATACATACCTATCTCCGCGTTCGGTGACCCGATGCAATAATTTGCCGTAATTTTGAGGCTAATTTTTGTATTTTTTGAATATTATTGGGTGTTTTTTCTTATACCCTTCATCTTTCTTTCTTTACACATGTAACTAGTTTTTTTTTATCAATGAATGAGCTTATGCCCCTAATTTTCAAAAAAAAAAAAAAACTGGCATCACAGACGACCGTGATACGATAAAGTCAATGAATTGCTACAGATGCGTAAATCAGACGGTCAGTGATTGCATTGGATGCGTAGCTGCTAGCGTACAATAACACGATTATAGTGTGAGATAAAAAAGTTTTATGACTCAATTTTGAAAAAATTTGAGAACCATAAATGATTTTTTTTTTATTTTTGAAAAATAATCAATTTGTATATTAAAATTATTTTTAATTAATTTTAAAATTATATTATATTCGTTTCAAAATAAATCTAATAGCTTTAAGATATGTCATTTTTAAAAATTTAGTCTTGAATATCACAAGAATTTTTTTTTTCTTCTTAATAATATCCCTTGTTTAGGCTTCTTGAGTGTACCATATGATATGAAAAAAAATTGTGTCAAGATTGTGCTTCTAAGTTTTTGAATTTGCATCGAGATTAGTGCAATTCCGAATATCATATACATCACTACTCTTAATGCAAATCCAAGATCTTGAAAATCTATCTTGATGCAAAATGGTACAAAATATCATGACATAATATTTTTTATATGTATATGCTAATATTTTCTAACCCGTCTAATTTAGTTTGATATAATTTTAGACTTATGTAAAATCAAAATAAATCAAATTAAATAGATTACATATGATACATAATTTATGTTTAAAATAGATCAATTGAATCAAACAAGTTAATAATATTAATAAATTTCATATATGCTTTAATTATTCATAATTTTAAAATAATTATCAAACTAAAAGTTTGTTTGGGACAACTTTTATGCTGCTCTCTAAGCAGCTTTCTAGTACAAAAATATTTTGAACTAAAATTTTTTGTACTAGAAGACTGTTTTTAAAAACAATAAAAGAGCTGTCCCAAATAAAACCTATATCCAACCAAATCATTGAAAAATAATTAAAACAAAATATAATCGAGTTAAATCAAATCAAAATCAATTATTTTTGAAATCCGACCGAACGATTAGGTTTAATTTGACTTGCTATAATGATGATTTAATTTTTAGATTATATATTTGATTTTAAATATCGTTACATAATGAACAATCCTAAGTGTAAGGATTAGCTTTTAATGAGAGAAAGGAAGATTGTGAGAGCATTAGATGAGCTTGATCAACTCTTGGAAAGCATAGGGCATTTGACCTTTGGCTGCCTTAGTACATCCATACAACTACGAAGGTAGATAAATCTCACCTATGTAATTTTATAGCTTGAACTTGAGATATTTGCTGCGATTATTCTCTCATTTTTATATAATTCTTGGTAAAAAATTTATCACTTTCTCAACAGTTTGACCCAATTTGATCATGTTAAGCTGCATGCATACAATTGTTTCAGAATAAGTCAATGGATCAGGTTCGTGTCTGACTCAAAATTTGCCCGATCCTAATCCCGTTAACCTGAACATGTCTTGTTTATTAAATGGGTCAATAAGTTGAACCCAAACCAGACCCTCTAGCAATCGAACCTGACCCAACAACCCATTTTAATAAAAAAAAAATATTTTTTTATTAACTACTTAATCATAGATTTTAGTTTAATTTATCAAAAATAAGCCAAATACAAATACAAAAGTGTCAATAATCAAAAGATAGTCCACCCTTTAAATATTAAAAAAGAAAAGATTTGGTATATCTATATTTAATTTTGAATACCGTGCGCACATTTGCTGCTTTTCTAAACATATAAAGAAAAAGCATGAAGATTAATGACCCAGCAGTAGAGCTCCTCTCGAGCTTTTATGTTGCTTTACCTCAGTACTGCAGTACAATATATTTTGAGCCGTTAAATATTCAAAAAGAAAAGAAATGGTATAGCTTTATTTAATTTTGGAAATTTGCCTCAGAACCTGTGTCAATAGCTCTTCACAATCTTTAGTATTGAACTGTAGGTCCCCAAAATTGCACTGATGATCCCAATAGCTACAATAACGATGGATACAGCAACCTGAACATTTTCAGTGAAATCAATTGAAGAACTAAACAAATTCATAGCATCACCTGTTCAATTCACTTCAAGTTCCAAATGTCAAAAAATTATTAAATACATTATGGGTAAGTGCTTATCCCGCAATTATTTTAGAATTAGGCTTCGTTTTGGATGATTTTCTTAGTGTTTTTTGAAGCAGCTTTTTTTAAGAAGCAGTCAGAAAGTCGTCCCAAACGAAACCTTAATGATCTGATCTATAGAACTGAATGAATTGTTGATTTCTTTGTTATGCACAGACCTTAAAAAGGAAATGGGCAGGTTTACCTGGAACTTTGTGGCTTTGTTCTTTGATAACTTCAAGAAGCATAGGGTTGGCGCTATGATCGCCTGCCAAATGCCTTAAGAAATTATGATACATGTTGATTCATCAATATTATTTATATTTTATAATTCAGAAAAATCCCATATAAGAAATGCTGATTATAATTATAACATGAGAAAGCAGTATTCATTTAAGAAATATTTGCAAAATAATGTTTCTATATAAAAATGTGATGTAGTAATCTGTGGAAGAAGCAGGCAGCACAAGCACAAAACACAAGAACAAACCGATAGCAGAGATAGCTGTAGGAAGTATATTGAAAAGCTAACTTGCTCTTCTTCCTGGGAAGAAGATAAACTATCAAGAGACAGATTCTCTTGCTGAAAATAGCCATACAAGGCAAAAGCTAAATAAGTGTCTTCTAGAACGGTAAATAGAAACTAAATAAGTGGGAACTAGCACATCCTAACAGTAAATCAAAAGCAATAAGTAATAAAACATATAAAATGGGTATGATGCACCACATTATTCAACACCCCCCCCCCCCTCAACTAAAGAATCCGACTCGGATGAGAAAATGTGGGTTCTTGCTTCATTTGGTGGGTGGTGGGTGGTATGTGAAGATGTCCACGACATTAAAATTGAAATGAAGTATTAAGTTCAAGTGGCAAATCAACAACGTAGGCATTGACATTGATTTTCCTGAGGGTAGGAATGGGACTGATTCGTCAGCGGCTCAATTTAGAATATGTTCCAAGAGCAAATCGTTCACGCCTCAGGCAAACCATGACTAAGTCACTCGGACTGTAGAGTTTCTCACGGCGGTGCTTATCTGCTGCTTGTTTGTACGTAGTGTTAGACTCAATTAGCTTTTTGCGGACATCTGTAAGCATGGAAGAAAACTACTCCACTAATACTGAAGTTGCCTTGTTGTTGCACTTGGGCAGTACTACCACATTGACAGTGGTTCAGCTGATTGGTGTAGATAATGCTAAATGGGCTTCTTCCTGTGGATCAATTTGGCATACTGTTGTAAGCAAATTCAGCTTGATCGAGAAGTTCGTCCCAAACCTTAGGATACTCCTGAACTAAACATTGGAGCATATTGCCAAGAGTTTGATTTACTACTTCTGTCTGCCCATCGCTTTGAGGGTTGTAGGCTGAGCTTAGTTTAATTTCTGTGAGCAATCATTTCCACAACTCCCTCCAAAAATGGCTAATGAACTTAACATCACGATTAAAAGTAAGATTACGGGAATTCCATGTATGCAGACAATCCCATTGAAAAAGAAACGTGCATTGTTAAGTGCATCAAAAGTTTTCTTACATGCAATGAAGTGAGCATTTTGGAGAACTGATCGACCACAACCATAATGGAATTGTTTCAGTGTTTAGTGCAAGGTAGGCTCGATACAAAATTCAAACTCAAATCCTCCCATATGGTGTCCGATACCGGCAGGGGGAGGTATAACCCAGTATTTTGTTCGCCACCCCTGTAGGCTTGGCGCACTGGGTAACGTTCCACGAACCCCATGAAATCTCTTCTTAAATGTGGCCAAAAAAATTTGGATGTAGTTGTGTGTAAGTTTTATTTCGGTCATTGTGTGCGGACAGTCCGCCGCAATGAGCTTCCTTGATCAATTGTGGCTACCATGAGTATAGGATACACAATAAATTGTGTTTAAATAGATACCCATGTCTTATGGCAATTTCCGAAGCAGCAGAGTTCTGATGGCAAGCCTCCCAAATGGATCCGAAGTAATCATCCGTTGCATAAAGCTCCCTTAAGCACTCCAATCCAGACATTTCCGTTTGCAATTGAGTGAGGAGAGCAAGTCGTCGGCTGAGAGCATCGGCAACATGAAATGGCTTTTCAAATTCAAACTTGAAATTAAATCCCTTTCCCCTCCCCTACCAAATCCTACCTTTATTTCTCTATTCTTTTCCCTCCCAAATTAAATCCTCCCAACCTGAGGTTGCTTTCCTGTAATTTCAGCAACCTAATCCTGCTGCACGCCTCCCTTAGTCTCCAAACTTGCTGTCCAGTAGCAGATCAAGTGTTGTCCAGAAATTCCTGTAACCTCTCCTTGTTGTCCTGCCGTCCGGAAGGTCACCGATTGCTGTCCAGAAGTTCTATAACCTTGTAATTTTCTGCCCTTTCATGTATGGCTGATCCAGAACAAAACCACGGTTTTATTTACAGCGATCAATGGCAAGTTGACATCCTCAAGTCTCCATTCTTCGACGTCAACTTGGAGGTCGACCGAACCATTAAAGACTACATCGAAAGAATTATCTTCTTCCTCGCCGTTGCTATTGACGAACAACTCTCTACCACTCAATGACAAATCATTTCTAAATCCTGATAAAGGTGAAATTCTCCTCTAAGTCTTTGCCTTTCTAAGTTCCCACTTTAAAATTGGGCATCATAAACTTTGTGCAACTTATCTCCGCTTAGCCAAACATCAAGACTGCGAGTGAGTGGATCCAAGTAGTGCCTAATCTAAATGCTAATTTAGGGATCAAGACTGCGAGTGAGTGGATCCAAGTAGTGCCTAATCTAAATGCTAATTTAGGGATTTCTTTTGAAAATCCCCCATGCTATGCTAAGCTTGATTGGAATTGATTATTCATGATTCTAACTCTTATCGTGTAATTTGGCCTAAGCTTAATTCACATCTTGCTTGTTCTCAAGATTTGTTTAAAATCGCTAAAAGTTAACTTAATTATTGCTGTTCTAATTTAAAGGCGTGTAATTTCAAACATTGCATACTTACCATCGCATTTAGTTCTACATCATTTACAATTATTGGGATTTTGTTTTTAACTACTGTGAGTTTTTATTTTAATTTTGTCGTTGTTGGGTCACGAAGGTAAGGTCTTCTTCAAGAAAACCTGAAAGAAAGAGCCAGGATATGTTGATTAAAAAGAATAACATTATTCAAGCCATATATGTTGCTCATCATGAAGGAGTTATGATGGCGAGGATGACACAGACGACAAATATAACTACCTTTATTGAAGAACCTCCAAGAATTACATCATATAATTTTGAGTTGATCGTTATTCTGATATGATACGTTATCATTTCTCCTATTACACTGTTATTGGTTGCATTTCCTTTGTTCTGTTTTTTAAGGGAAATTTTCTTTTTTTTTCAAGTCAACTTTTTTATTATTCTAAACCTACAAAATGGCGTAGCTTTACCGGACAGATTCTGCTATGCAGCCTGTTTTGATGTGAGGAGACGCATTACAAGAGGTGCACTAACGCATGCCTGCTTCATTGTGGTCTCTGTTTTTGCTCTATGTGGCTGGAAGTCCAGATATTGGCATTTTTAAGCTATGAAATCAACAGAATATCTTATTTTGTATCCCTTGGAATTTTTTGAAAATCCTGATATTAGCATTTCTAAGTTATGAAATCAACCATATATCTCATTTTTTAGTAAATCAAACATATAACCATATAGATTATGCTTAGAGTTTCTATCAATGTATGATTAACTGCTGAAAGCAAGAAAAAGAACATACCACTACTATACTGAATAGCGAGCCAATCAGGGACATCACAAGGCCTGCACAAAAAAATATGGAACGGACTTTAATTGAGTTAATCACAATAAACTTTTAGGTTGACAGTGATTGATAATAAAAGGCATTCAAGATGAAATAAGCACCACTGCGCCATGCAAAGTCCTGACCAGGAAAAACAATCTGTGTGATTGGAACTTAGCGACTTAGACAATAAGACAAGTTGCAACCAATGATTAAAGACGCCAACTAATTCCAAAATGATGTTGATCCTAGAAAATGCTATACTTTTTGGTTTTTTTTTTCTGATAAATGCATAAAAATAAATTCAACGCACAAGCCCGTATTAACACTTTTGAAGGACATAGCCAGGCGCTTCAAATCTCTGATATGCTGAGGTACCAAAAATGATTCAAAAACAAAGCTACCACCAGAAGAAGAATGATCCATGCAAAGTACTTGAATCTACTACACTGAAACCTTGGTCAATAATCGTGAACATATAAGAATCAATTAATCAGGATAGTTCACAAATAACAAAATAGTTAATAAAAATAGTTCAGTCTAATTTAGTCAATAAACTTGACCAACATCATCAGTTAAGAACTGCTCCCCCTGCAACATAACATGCTCTCCTAGCATTTGTGAATCTTGTACTGTACCATCTCATAATGCTGATACATTGATGTGGCCATCTAGTCTAGTGTGCCATGTGCGCATACCGGCCAGCGCCATTACCACTACTCCTTATTTCTAGTATTCATGCTATTTACCTTTTTCAGTTAGACAAGTACTATCCTTTTACTAAAGTTTGTTTTCTTTTTATTAGCAGCCATCATACCCCAGGGGGTTTGGCACATATATGTTATTACAACCAAAAGGAGGAGATAGAATACACAATAGAAGCTCTTTTCAGCTAAACGTTTGCTGTTCTATTAGTTTCTTCCCTTTCAAGTTCTTCTCGGGTGTCTCCACTGCATCAGTTCTGGTATCAGAGCTAGCTTACCGTGGACATGGCCGAAGGAAGCAACCAGCCCAGACTCAACGGCGATCGGAGTTTGGAGGCGTTGTGGGAGGCGCAACAGCATACATCCAAGCAATTGGATGAGCTTATGAATGTTTTTACTCGTTTTGTAGGTGAAATGCGAGACGAGTTGCGGCAGATTGGGACCGCTACCAATCCAGTAGCACGTCCGGCGGTTCCGGCAACCATACCGGGCCCCAGGTTAACAGGGCATATCAATCCGGTGCAAAGACAGGCGCCTATCCTTCCTCCCGAGTTTTCGGATTCATACGAAGAAGAACATCCGGAGCTAGAGCAATCTGACACAGAGGACTACAACCGGCGTCCAGCATTTAATCGAATGAGGCGTCAAATGCAGCATCGGCGTGAACCCGAGAGTATCCGACTCAAATTGGATATTCCCTCTTTCGACGGCCGTCTTCATATCGAAGATTATTTTGAATGGGAAGGTGCAGTAGAAAACTTTTTCGATTATATGGAGATTAGTCCGAATAAGCATGTTAAATATGTAGCTTCTCGTCTCAAGGGCGGGAATGCCTGGTGGATGCAGTTATGTCAGACGAGACAAAGGGAAGGACGAGGCTCCATCCATAGCTGGAATCGCATGAAACAGTTGATGCGTCGGCACTTCCTACCCACTGATTTTGAACAGTTATTGTACATCCAGTATCAACAGTGTAGACAAGGGAAACGAACTGTTAGTGAATATACCGAGGAATTCTATCGACTCTGCGCTCGCAACAATCTGACCGAATCCAAAAATCAATTGGTGGCTCGTTACATCGGCGGGTTGAAAGATTTACTTCAAGATAAGCTAGAGCTCAATTTGGTATGGTATGTATCCCAGGCGGTGAACTTTGCCCTCAAAGCGGAAGCACAAATTCAAAGACCGCACCGCCAACCGTTTCCCCGAAAATCATTACAGGAAGGCAACCCAATTCTCTCCAAAGCAGCAACACAGCAATCCAAGGCTCCCGGGTCGTCACAAGCACCGGTGAACAATGCCTCTGCAGACCTGAAAGCAGTCGCCCGACCAAGGGTGCAGGGTCGAGATAATCCCTATGCCAAGCCTGTTGCTATCAAATGCTTTAGATGTCTTCAACCTGGACATAAGTCCAATGAATGTCCCAACCGGCACCAGGTGCAGCTCATGGAGGGTGAGGAAGAAGCATATCAGTCCGGATTTGGAGAGGAGATGGAAGAACCCATTGAAGAATTGGTAGCAGATGAGGAGAACCGATTCTTGGTGTATTAGAAAAGCTGCTCTTAGCCCCGCGCAAACCAGTTGAAACTAAAAGAAATAGCTTATTTCGTACCAAGTGTACCATTAATGGCAAGGTTTGCGATGTCGTGATCGACAGTGGCTGCACTGAAAACATTATTTCTAAGGCAGTCGTCCAAGCTTTGCAGATAAAAACTTACAAAAATCCTCACCCGTTCAAAATTAGTTGGGTAAAGAAAGGTGTGGATTTCCCTATCTCGGAATTCTGCAAGGTCACGTTTACCATCGGCAAGAGTTATTTGTGCCAAGTGACTTGCGATGTCATAGATATGGATGTGTGCCACCTGATTCTTGTACGCCCTTGGCAGTACGATAGCGGAGCGATTCATGATGGTAGATCCAATACTTATACTATTGAATGGAAAGGGAGAAAGATCAAATTCATTCCCACCCCTCAAATCCAGAACAAGGCTGATGTTAACAACCTTACCTTGGCTCGTATTGTATCTGGACATACCTTACTCCAACTTAAGGAAGTAAGCCATCTGATGATAGCTTTAATTGCTGATGATTCATCGGGACAAGACATTCCAACCCCATCTCCAGAAGTGCAGCAGCTGATCAACGAATTCAGTGATATCACCGCCCCGGAACTGCCCTCGTCACTTGCTCCCATGCGGAATCTCCAGCACCAAATTGAATTCATACCCGATGCTAGTCTGCCTAACCTCCCTCACTATCGTATGAGTCCGCGGGAGCACACGATTTTAAGGGAGATTGTACAAGAACTGTTACAAAAATGCTTTATACAACCCAGTTTAAGTCCATGCGCTGTTCCGGCATTGATAGTTCCAAAAAAAGATGGGCAGTGGCATATGTGCATCGACAGTAGGGCTATTAACCGGATCACTGTGAAATACCGGTTCCCCATTCCCAGGATTAACGATCTCCTGGACAAGTTAGCTGGATCGGCCATCTTCTCCGAGCTGGATTTGAGGAGCGGCTACCATCAAATCCGAATTCGACCCGGAGACGAGTGGAAGACCGCATTCAAGATGGTGGATGGGCTGTTCGAATGGAAGGTTATGCCCTTCGGGCTGTGTAACGCTCCCTCTACATTTATGTGACTAATGCATGACATTCTTAAACCATATTTAGATAAATTCTGCATTGTGTATTTTGACGATATTTTGGTGTTCAGCTCTACTTTAGAGGATCACCTGGAACATCTAAGATCCATTTTGGGAACATTATGCAGTAACCAGCTGTTCCTCAATGTATCCAAGTGCGAATTGGGAGTCACCAACGCTAAGTTCTTGGGCTTTGTCCTCACGCCGGCGGGAATCAAGACAGATCCACAGAAAGTCTCTGCCATCCAGGATCGGCCGATACCACGTTTTTTGACGGACGTGCGAAGCTTCCACGGGTTGGCCAATTACTACAGGCGGTTCATCAAAGGCTTTAGTGTTATAATGGCCCTTATCACTAATTTCCTGAAGGCATCAGCATTTTCATGGACCGCGTCACAATAGAGGAGTTTTGAACAAATAAAAAAGGCACTTAGCTCTACACCTGTGCTAGCCTTCCCCGATTTTGATAAGCCATTTCAGGTGGACACCGACGCGTCTGCCGTCGGCATTGGAGCTATCCTGTCCCAAGATGGAAGACCTGTCGAATACTTCAGTAAAAAGCTCAGCGACACTCGACATAAGTGGTTGGCATACGAGCAAGAATTGTACGTGGTCGTGAAAGCTCTCAAATAGTGGGAGCACTACTTACTCCATAGGGATTTTGTCTTATGCAGCGACAATCAAGCACTTCAGTACATCAACAACCAAAAGAATGTTAATAGAATGCATGCCCGTTGGATTATTTTTTCCAACTATTCACTTTCGTGATTAAGCACAAGGCAGGTCGAGCTAACCGAGTGGCTGATGCACTGAGTAGGCATTCAGCCCTGTTGACGCACCTCCAAACGAACATCACATGATTACAGTTGTTGCAAGATCTGTACGAGGAGGACAAGGATTTTGCTAGGATTTGGGGTGCCTGTAAAGCTGGGCAGCCTCAACAGGATTTCACACTTCACAAGGGATTTTTATTTAAAGGCAATAGCCTATGTGTGCCCGATTCATCGTGGAGGCCGCAACTAATCAAGGAACTACAATGCGGAGGATTGTCCGCTCAAACAGGAAGAGATAAGACGCTGGAATTGCTGCAATCTCGTTTTTACTGGCCCCATTTGCGCAGAGATGTTGAAGGTTTATAGAAAAATGCACTATTTGCCAAAGGTTCAAAGGCACTGCCAAAAGGTTCAAAGGCACCGCGCAAAATACCGGCCTGTACCTACCTCTTTCGGTTCCTGACTCTATTTGGGAGGATCTCACACTTGATTTTGTATTGGGGTTACCACACACGAAGCGAGGATCCGATTCCATCATGGTCGTTGTAGATCGATTCTTCAAAATGGCGCACTTCATCCCTTGTAAAAAAACATTTGATGCCGTTAACATTGCCCAACTCTTCTTCAAAGAGATCATTCGGCTACATGGGCTACCTCGCAGCTTGACCTCCGACCGTGATTTGAAATTTGTTAGTCATTTTTGGAGGGAACTATGGAAAGGATTGAACACTGATCTCAAGTTGAGCTCAGTATACCATCCTCAAGCAGACGGCCAAACTGAGGTGGTTAACCGGACCTTAGGTAACATGTTACGTTGCCTTGTTCAAGATAATCCAAAAAGGTGGGAAGAGCTCCTTAGTCATGCTGAATTTGCATATAATTAGATGTACAACCG